TTAGCACAGATGATGTTCTACAAATCGCTCTGTGAAGATGAATCGATGTTTAAAGAATTCTTATTTCTTAAACTTGACAAAGAACCTCAAACTCTTAAAGATGTAAAAGCGACAGCTCACAGCCGTCAGTCAACTTTACATTTTTGACTTTCTCAAAACTCAACCTGGACAGAAATCTGTTTCTGGCATCAAACTAAAATCAGCTTCTGTCTTTGACTTTGTTCAGATGATTAAAATAATTTTAAAGAGACGCTGCTCCATTGAAATCACGTGAGAAACGTTTGTATTTGCTGAATCTAAACTCTCTCATGGATCCAGGTCACAAAAAAATAATTTGTGTTTCGATCTGAAATAACTTTTGAGGGTTTTTTTGGCACAAAAGAGTGAAAACACATTAACAACATGTAAATACATATATTTTTAATAATGAACAGGCCTGTACTTATCAGAGGCTTTACTTTCATCCATCATTTTTTTATTTTATTTACATAAATCAACTAAACGTTCTTTGTCACGTTTCCTTTAAACATTGAACATTTAAATTTCAGAGCGAAGCTTCATCTGAACAAAAGATCAGCGTGAGACGTGTAAGTTGACAGACACTTTAATTGAGACATGAGTGAACTTTAACCATGTGGGCGTTTACACGGACTCCCCCGTCACCTCCGCTCCAACGAGATACAAAAGAAAAGAACGAACAAAATGAGTATTGCGGTGAAGCTGTCTCGAAAGTAAGATACATTATTTACACTGAAAACAAAATGCTACGTCAATTTTTTATCTTTTTCCGGGAGAGAAAAAAAAGATTAAATAAATAAGACTAGAAATGTTTTTTTTGTCCACATTCACAGCATGACAAATCATATTCAACTCGTTAATGTCGGCCCCGTGTGGCCACAACAGACGCAGATATTAGTAGGTAATTCAGTGATTATTGCCAAAAGCCTTAAACTATACATTATCATATTCAATACATACTCTGTATTTTGTTTTAAAAAAGGAGACATTTGGAAACTGCTACTTGGATGATTGTACAGCTTAAATACTTCTAGATATATATATGTATACTTTTAAACCCTTTTGTTCATAGCTTTAACTCGTTGGCAACTTTGGAAGCAATGTTTTTGAAAGCGATGGATGATCCGGATATCCGCTTGAACCTGACGCCGTTGAGGGAGAGACGGGGAAGCTTGCAGACCTCCATCTCCCACTGGACCAGGTTCTCGGCTCGCCCGTCCCCGTGGACGCAAAGAAGCAGGAAACTCTCTTGCTGCTCGTAGTCGCAGTTGTTGGCGTCGAGCACCTTGCGAATCTCCCGCATGATGTCGCAAGGCTCCATGGAGCTGGTGGTCCTCATACTCCAAGTGAATCTGAGGGAGCGAGGTTTACTGTCTTTATTTTCCCCTTTTTGATCCCCAGGTACATGGCGACTGTCGGGAGGAGACGACAAAAAGACAAGTTAACACTCCTTTCACGTGCACGCGGCTTTTCAATGTGTTTACACGTGTTCGGGGGATGAATGGCAGGTTTTATTTTGGGAGCACTGTGCAGGTTGACAGGGACACGAACAAGCCATGCTAACAGAGCAGCTCTCAGGTACAGTGTCATGCAGATCATTTATAAAAAAAAAAAAAGAACGCAAAGCAAAAACACTGAAAGGCAGAAGCTCGATGCAGCACGACAAACGTCCAAATCCTCGGAAACTTCAAACACCGCAGGAGAAACAAAGCAGGTGGGGGAGGGGGGTTCCTACGCAAAGAGGGAGGAGGCGGGG